TAGGATTATTTTTTAGCATAAAACAAAACGCATTTTGGATAAAGAAGGGTTCACACTTTAAACATCAATATAATATTTCGGAAACAAACAGTTCTTCCGCAGTTTTTTTCCGACGCTTTACGGCAATGCGAGGCACTGCACGTGAAGTAAGCATGAACTATAAAAGGTAACGTTGGTTTAGCTTTTTGTCATTTTATAACCCAATCAATGCAGGACATTAAGAAAATATGGTACCTGCTGGGTTAGTTCCGTGTACTTTTTTTGTTTTGCTTTCCAAACTTAGAATGATGGGAGAGAAGGAATCGCGCACCTTCCAGAACATATGGAGAGCACGAGTCGTCTAGAATATACGTCGAAATAGTTTCAATACTCCCCGCGTCGCGCAATGCAATCCAAGTATGCTTGGTGGACGAGCATGTTGGTTTAAGTCATGGATGAAGAAAGAATACAACAATTAAAACAGAGACAACACAACCACATCTTTCATGAAAAATGTGGTTGTGTTGTCCCTGTTTTAATTGTTTTATTTTTTTTCCTTCATCCATGCAATCCAAGTTTCCCGACAAGCACTGCCGAATTTTCCGAAAAGGTCTACTCAACTTTTAATATTACCCAGAGAGTCTATTTCTATTAATTTATTTCTCTCAGATGGGACACTACTGCGCATAGGGAAACATTCACTTCTTTTTTCGTCTGCTCAGTTGGCGGCGAGTTGCCACCTAGTTTAGTAAATCGCTGTGCGATCATCGAATTTACTATATCGGCGAGTTATTCACAGAACATGCATCAAGTTTTTTTCTTCTTCAATCCTAAACGTTTATCTGTGAAAACCTATGAATAAATAAGGAGGCTTTGGGGAATGATTCAACAATTGACACCACACCCCCATGAAACTCTTGTAGAATTAAAAATGCCATAAAAAAAATCTACCGGAATTGCGGGAAGCTGGTGAGGCGCAGCTTCATCGTGACAACGCGCCCGCCCATTCGTCCTTCTCGTATATGCTTTCCTAAAAAAACAACATCACCCGTCTGTGTCCCACCCCAGCAACCCAGACATGACTCACTGCGGCTTACAATTTCTTTCAAAAGTTTAACCACAGTTGAAAGACCCATTGGATTAATTTCCAGCAGACAATTAAAGCCTGATTGCCCTAGGGTGCCTACATTTTATAGAGTAATAAATGGCTCGATACTTTTCGGACAGATCTTGTAAGTACTTCCTCCGGGGACCATTTTTCGGTTATCAAGACAATGTGGTTTCAGACTATGAAAAACGCTTGAAGTAGAAAATAAAACAGCAAAACTGGAGGAAAAAGTAAGCAGTTTATAAACTAAAGATAAGCAGACTTTGATCTCGATTCGCCTTGTAAGAGTACAGGAGTAGAAACATGCGTATATAGATAGCCGAGAAATACCTACGTATAAAAAAAATGGAAGTCGATTACAACCCCCTGTAACACCGAATTAGAGCGCAGCTCTTGAGGAAGAGGATGGAAGGGTGCTATGGGAGGGTATACCCCTCCTCTCTCCTCCTCAGCTCGTCATCCTGCCTGCTACTCCGCCACGGGGGTCACGTGAGCTCGGGGGGGGGAGGGGTCACGTGACTTCAGGTGTAACAAGACCCCCCCCCCCCCCAGGTGTTCCATATCGGACAAGGGGTGTACCCCCTACACCCCCTATTTCTGAGAGTGTAGTGAATACGCAGGTTAAAGGGATGTTTACACACCAAATCATTTCTACAATGAGACATAAACTGCTGCCACCGTCGTAGTACGCTATCCAGCACAGCCCAAACGTGCATAGGAGAACGTTCTTTTTTATGCCAATCAATTGATGGCGACTTCATCGGAAAAATCTTCTTAAAGTGGCGTGCGGGTAACTGACGTGCGCCATTTTTCAGATTGTGCGATGATTTTTGAATAGCTGAGAATGCTTGTTTCTCGCTTGGTAAAATCATAAATTTTGATTCCTGCAATGAAGGATACTCACACTACAAGCTGAGGCATCGGATCTAGCCAGTGATAAAACCCTGCTATCTGGCGTGCGTTGAGCCAAACGACGGATGACTGCAGACCTGGAAAGATAAATGAAGGCTTGTTACCAACATGCGTATACAACACTATTTTTGTTGAGTGAGCACAGGATATAGAAGCTATGTTCATCGCAAATTATGGATTCAATAGAAGAAAAAGAATTAGCCCGTTGTAATAACGCTTCAATTAAAAGTTTAATTCTGCGTGTTGTTTCTTGACCAGTAATTTTAAACATCGCCCCAGAATTGACCAAATGTAAACGAAAACACAAGAATCGAGGACGAGATCACAGACGTCAGTGAACTTCGCCATCTGGAGAACTTCACTGACGTCTGTGATCGGTCAAGGACGTTGTGACGACAAAAATGGTTTTTGTGAGAAAATAAAACTGCTTCTTTGATTTTCTTCACAAATGCGTCATAACTTGACCCCAAGGCTGCGAGAACAAAATGTGAAACGTATTTTTAAAGCGTAGAAACTACCTCAACGAAATGAGAACTCCTAACAAACATGTTGGTTTCTTAGAGCAGCAGAATAGTTGAGAATCACATCAGTTCACCGTTGTATAGAGATAAAAAAGCATACTCTCTGTCACTGGTGGTCGCATACTATTTCTAGGTGACAGCAGATATAAAAAAAAAAAATGACGGATATCAACTAACCTAGTCCGGGCTTTAAGTGAGCTGACGAGCCGAGGAATAGGCACGATATATACTACCTGCTACTTCACAAATAATTAGTTTGGTATCTAAAGGAGCGCCACCTGTCTCTCGCACTTGACGTCAATATACAGGCGCCTACGTGCAAAAAGCTAAGCTCCGACCCCCATTCACAGCACTTCCTTTCCTTCTCCTCTCTCCCGCGTGCTGCATGCGACAATAGAGAAGTGGTAGAACGACAACGCCATTTTAGTCGGCGACTGCGTCACTGCTACATAGAAAATTCTAGAATAACTTAACGTAATATTACGAGGAACAAACTTACGAAATCTCGAAGCTTTGAATTTCAAAGACTCTCCAGATCCCCTTAATTAATTTGAGGCGCGACCGTTAGCACGCGATAAATACTACTCTGAGAATGACAGGTTTGTTTTCGAAGATATATAGATGTTCAAAGTCTGGAATTCAGTACAGGCAGGGAGCTTACAACTTTAGGAATGAGAAATTTTGTATAATATTATTCATCAAATATATGTTGTTTTTTATAAACTTTACTGTAACTAGTATACCGCCTCCACTAAGAAAGTATTGGAACCACCGGATATTTGGTAGGAGGAAGCTCGTTACTGCCAGTTGTTGAATTGACAAATATGTGTAAGTTCATTTTATTTATAAATTTAAGGGTTCTATTTTACTTGTATTTTTATAATTACCGAGTATTAAAGCTAAACAGAATTAAGAATTCATGAAATTAGAGTGCTTTGAGATATTCGTTCTTGTTTGTATTGTTGCGCACAAAAGAGCCGGCCCTCGTTGCTCGCGCAATGGTGCGTAGGAGTGACATCCCCACGATGTACAAGTGGTCATGACCTCACACATTCATTGCGCCACAGCAGACCTTTCAGGGTGAAATGAATAGTCCCTAGACTCATCAGCAGCAAATTTAAGAAAACACGTACATTGCAAAAATGCGTTGCGACTCTTAGATCACGTCGCGTGAGTGCATATTTGTGCTGGGTATACCTTGTATTTGATATGTGTTCGCGACTTCAAAATTTACGGGCGGCATTTCTTGCCAAATTTATTTGTCAGGTCTATCATATAATTTACTTAGTTTGAATGGTTTACAGGTGGATATGTGAAACTTGTTGATAAGTGTTTTCAGGTTTCTTCTGATTTAGATGCACTTTGATGCAAAGGAGTAATAGGGAGGAGGTGTTTAAAATCAATTTGCTGCCCGCCTGGATGTGTTGTGTTGATAACAATAAATTTCAAGGCGTCATTACTGAAAACTCTATCATCGGAGTTCTATCGAAGTGACGCCTCAGCGTAATGATTTTTAAATATCGGCACTGCGAATTTTGTGGCAATTGTGGTGTGCGACAACAACCCTGACTTATGTAACGGAATTGTCATTGACTTCCTACTCTTGCTAGATTCAAACCGGACCGCTAGTAAAATTCTCTTACGCGCAAGTTACGTTGTTGGTCTCTCCCGGAGTTGGTGGACGATGGGTCAGCCCTTGATATTCTGAGGCTTGGTGGCGGACACGTTGACCAAGAGTGACGGCAGGCTCACTGATTTTCTTCAGCTATCTACATCTAATTACATATCTACAAAAAGATTCAAGCTCCCAACTTGGGCGACCATCTTTACTCCCTCCAAAGTCTCTAGCAATGTCCGCAATCGCCTCTCCCGTTCCACCTTTTGACATTTGCAACCCTCTCCTTCTCCTCGAGGAAGAAACCAGTCACTTCAAATCCCACGGCGGTCAGGTATTCCTAATGATCCAGTCACCGGCGAGGTCCACACGCGACCGCCGTAAGCTACAACAGCGGTCAAAACCTTCAAAGTTACACTGAGCATCCAATCGGAGGTGTTTCCCCTGCAATAGGTAACAATTACAACGAAGAAAAATAAACGCCGTAAGCGCTAGCGGTCCTGCGCGTGGATTCTTCGAGTCCCTCGGGCTCCATCACCCCGACTCCTATTAGGAGACGTCGGCGCGGCCCCACGACGCAACCTTCCCGCCGCCTAAGGGCATTGGGAGGTCGCAAGCCCCACACAGCAAGCAGACGGGTGCTCCCCAACTTACCTTCGCTTGCCACTTAAAGCCGAATCATTAATGGCTCCTTGAATGAAAATAGTTTTCAAAATTGAATTTTTTTGGAATGCACAAAATTAATTCGGAGTCTTAATCGGGGCCTCTATTTTAAGAACGCCAACTTCTGTAGCTTAAAAAAAAAACCTTCCAGATACACGAGGTAACACAGCTCCCAATCAAGTTGTTCCACCCAAAAACGTACCAACGTCTTGCAGAGAAGCTCGTATGTGATCCACGTTCATGGTCCCATCGAGATTCAAAAGGTATTTGCCTTCACCGCACGTCTTTCTTGCGTCCTCGAACGTCTGCTGAGTGCCTTTGGTGATGAAGAACCGGTCGGCGTGCTGGTTGTGACCGCCTGCAAAGTGTCGAAAAAGCCTTCAGTAAATTTTCAATAATTTGGATTGCACGTGACCATATTAGATAAGGTCAACGTGTTGTAAAAACTCTGACCTAGTAGAAGTGTTCCCAGAAAAAGTTGTATTTTGTTTGTTCGTCTATATTGCTTGAATGACCACGTGCTTTAAAGAAAATAATCTGCGAGGTGTCTCGCAGAGAGAAACTACGAGCTACGAAAGATAGTGGGTGAATGATAAGTCACGATAAAACATTAATGCAAATATCTTTCAGTTTTAGTGCGCCATCCTTTTGTTGGCAGTTTCACAAATCGGTGTTGAAGTTTCATTAGGTTGACTTCAGTCTACATTCTAAAAGTAAGGTCAGGTCACTTTTTTGCGACGTCATCCCATTTTGATGGGCCGTTTCTCCGCTGAGTTATCCTGATTATTTCAAGAAAAAAAAATTAAAGACGTTTACAGCTCCCTGTAGCGCCGAATTAGAGCGCAACTCTTGAACAAGAGTGGAGGATATGCCCCTCCTCCCCCTCCTCCCCCTCCTCCCCTCCCCTCCTCCTCTCCTGCTTCCCTCCCATTTAGCGGGAAATTTTAGCTACATTTCCCCCTAAATTCAGACGAAAAAATTTCCCGCTAAAATGAGCGGGGAAATTTTCCCGCTAAATTAAGCGGAGAAATTTTCCGCTAAATTTAGGGGGGAATGTTTCTGGTAAATTTAGCGGGGCATTTTTTTTTTTTGGCTCAATTTAGCGGGAAAATTTCTGTCCTCCAACTTCTCTAACTCGTGACCCTCGTGAGGTCACACGTGAAGTCACGTGTGGCGTCAATATGGGAAACGTCCCGTAATGGAACGTGCGGTTAAGCCGCGGCGACGCCGACGCTGACGCCAACGCCGCTCAAGCCGCACACGAGACGCCGTTGCGTCTTGTGTGCTGCGCATCATTACCTTAAAACTGTGGCTGGTCAATTGATCGATTAACCTACCGATTAATGTTTTTATCGCGATTAATTTTTTCAAACCTTTCAATCGGTAAAATTTTTAAGAGCCAAAAGAATGCAAAACATTTAACGCTTTCACCACGCAGGCATCAACGAGTACACCTGTATAAAGGACTAACTTCAAGTAATATTTTATCCTAAAGTAAACTTTTTGGGCGAGATTTGTAACTCAAGACAAGTTACACGTGTCACGGCCACTTTAGTGCCGTTCGAGTGTCCGTTTAGTTCAGCGGAGACCATTGCGAACAATCAAAGGAGCTCGCATTCGCCGGAGAATATCAACAAATCCTGTTGTCTCATGAAGCTGAAGTAACGTTCTGTAAATATGAGTGTCTTTGAACTGTTTTTTCGCAAGTAGACATTGAGGTTCGTTGATAATCGAAATTCTATATTACGGCGTTAATCGTATATTCAGCAAAAGTTCAAAAAACAAATATTGCCTTTTTTTTTAATATGATGCATGGGAATGAACGAGACCGATATGTCGAATAATTAATCGTTCAAGGGTGCCAATTAATCGAGTTAAAATATTTAATCAACGCTTAGTCTTAAAAAATTAGTTATTCATTCTAGAGTAAAGTTATAAACGCATGAATTGCCCCAATGTTAAAACGCCAGTTTTTGTGATATATTTAAAATTTCAAGAGGGAAAAGAGACGAATTGGCTAGGTCATAAAAATGCCCGGCCTCTAACTTTTTAACAATACAAAGGGAGGCTCAGACAATAAACAATTCATTGCTAACTGTCTCAAATAGCTCAATAAAGGTGGAGCTCTTCAGCACGTACTAAAATGTGAGGATTTCTACAGTAATGATTGAAGGGGTCTAGCCGGTGGTGCACTGCAAACATATAAATAAAACGGCGCAAACGAACACAAAGACAAGTAGAAGAAGGGACACAGACAAAGCGCTGACTCACGACTCATATTCGTGCCACACGGGCAACTCGAATGCCATTTACAACGAATGGCATTTGAGCGGACGGCCAATCAGCGCGCGACACTCCGGGCGTAGCGCATTCCACGCGCGACAGCTTGCCGAGCTGATTCGCCGATCACAGAAATGTCATTCGTTGTAAATGGCATTCGAGTTACCCGTGTGGCATGGGTATTACTTTTTTTTTCGTCTTCTTAAACCACATCAACATCAGAAGTCGAAGAAATAAAAAGAAGAATCCAACATGTAGGACATCTTCACTGTGTTGGCTATAAGGGGAGGTGTGCCGAATAGAAAATCGATAGCATGCCACTCGTTCATGACGCCGGTGGCACCAGTACCCTGCACCTGGTGCCATCGGACGGGCACACAATGGCACCACGCATAGAAGTGCGTACTGCATGAGCACGCGTAGTACGAGACGCTCTCGTGCCCCACGCGCTCGCGCACAACACTTGACACGCTTCCCGCCAAGCCCCTTAGAACGGAAATGCACGGGTATCCTGGCTACAGCGCCACTTTTTCATCATGAAGAGGCGGCACGTAGAACTTCCGAAAAATTTCTAATGGCTAATTCCACTGGTCGTTTTGGAGCGCGCCGGGATCGACTTTTCTGGAGCGACCCTATTTCGCTGGGCGATCGGGGTCGAGACCGACGTGTTCCATTGGTCGTTTTGAATTAGCTCCAGCTCCAGATCTCGATCTGGATCCGAGAAAAGTCGCTCCCACGATTTCGGCGGATTCAACCGGAAGCCAGCCGGGCCAACCCTCGGCGCACACACGTGACTTCCTTTTTGGTGGGGCATCTCGCCTGATCTCGCCCATCTCGCCTGAGAAGAAGAAAAAACACGTCGCGGGCTGGGCTCCTAGATTGTCTCGACATCAGAAGAATTCGCAATGGCCGCTTGCTTACCCTTTGGCTCGACAGCCGGTTCGTTTTCCAGGAAGAAGAAGAGAAGGCATTTGCCGCGCTACGGGCATTCCGGCAATCTTTGCTAGAAGCGCCTGAGCCGTTCCTGCCGCTCGTGCGTCGAACAAGTGTAAGCGCCGCGACTGCGAAAACGTCTTCGAAACGACCGCAGCGACCGCGGAAAGGGGATTTCCGGGCAGTTGAATGACGGGAAAGCATCCGCCGATCCCGGAGCTGTGGTCATGTTCCACGGGGGATCCGTAGTCGGCGCGACCCCGTTCGGATCGTGTGCTCCACACTCTCAAGAAAAAAGGGTGTAAAAGGGTGTATCGTTACACCCTTTGTCCCATATAATACGCCCCCGAATTTCAATTCGACATACACGGCCCAAAATTTTACGAGGGGCTTGATGCCCGTGTGGTACAACTTATTAAAATAGCTAATGTACGTTTTACTGATAACGAAAAAAATAATCAGGGTTCTCTTGGCTCTACTGTAAAAACTCGGTGTTTTCTTTCTGTGGTCTCTGATACGTACTTTAGCTATGTTATAAGTTATAACTTATATCGCACCCTTATCAAGCCCCTCGTAAAATTTGGGGCCGTCTGTTCGGCTATAGGGCTTTGTACGTCGAAATTAAGTTTTGGGGTGTATTGTATGGGACGAAGGGTGTAACGATACACCCTTTTACACCCTTTTTTCTTGAGAGTGCACTCTGGATCTCTTCAACTGATCCCGGCGAGCTCCAAAACGCCCAGTGGAATTTCGCCATAACAGAACCTTTACAAAACAAAAATCGATCCTATGGCTACAAGCGCGCACATGCAGCCTGAAAACGGTGCAGCGGCGAAATGTTTTGGTGGCGCCCTCCTATGGTTCCCCCTTGTGACGTCATTACCTTGCGAACAACAAGTTCGATGGTGTTTGTAAATAGCATGGTGGAAGCCTGAAATCATTGCGCTCTCAAAGCAACACTGCCAACACCGTCGAAATTAAAGTTCTTTCATTCCTCTTATTTCCGTCGATGGTATACCCTTTCCGACGTCATAGCCAGCTTTTGGGCCAATCGTGGAAGGCCGACCACAGCGACGCTTTCGGTCGCGCACGTCGCCAATAAGGCCGTGTGCGAGACAGGTACGCACAGAGCATTACGGCTCGCGCTGTAGTTTTGGCATTGCTCAGACCTAAGGTGGAACGATGTGTAGATATAAATTTCTCTACTATTTACTTTCTGTTAGAAATTCTTCGAATGGTACATGACAGTGAAGATGTCCTACATGCTGGAGTCTTTTTATTTCTTTGACTTTTGATGTTGATGTGTTTTAAGAAGAGGAAATATTGAGTAAGTCGTGAGTCAGCGCTGTGCCTCTGTCCCTTCTTCTACTTGTCCTTTTGTTCGTTTGCGCTGTTTTATTTACATGCTTACAGGGATTTCTAATTTCGCAGGCCATTACCGTTTGCCGTAATATCAGAGGAGTTTGCTCTTAAATTGAAGATTTTGATAAAAAGAGAACGTGGCGGTTACATGAATGCCGTTTTTCCTGTGTGTTTCGGGGTTCGGCGGACGTTAGGTTGGATAATGATCGCTGCGGTAATTTCCTATTTCACTAACATCTAATCATTGGTTTAGCCTTTCATTGGAGCTCCCGTCAATATGGCACTTAAGCACGATTTCCCGAGTCAATAATAAAAGTTATTTTAATAGATCCCATTTAATTAGTCAAACGATATACTTCCAAGCAGCACGGCGATTCTTGGCCGGTGTCGTGGCAATGTCTGCCGAAAACCGGCTCCAATATCGGCCTAATGTGCGCTTTTGCACCACATCCCGACTTCCGGCAGGCATTGGCGTACCGCCGTTTCACCACCGGCCCGGCGGGATATCGTGCGACTATTGCCAGGTAGGACTGTGGGCCAGGTATCGGCAAGATATCGCACATGCTTCTACTCTGTATCGGGCGTACGTCGCCTAATACAGAGCAGAGAAATCTGCTCATTTTGTATCGGCATTACCGGCACTATTGCCTTGCGCGTTAATTGCAAATATAGTATGAAGTTGAACGCCTCGCACGCATACATAGAATGAGGAAATTGTTCTCAATCTCTCACAGAACTTTATTAACCCACTAGCATTACACAGAGCTCGTTCTGGACCCATTT